GTGTTTGTCTCGTCTCCTGATCGTCCACTGTTCCTCCCCCACTGAGTCCTCTGGGTTTTTGGCTCTATATGTGGGGAGGTTCAGTTTTTATCAAACTAAGCCTGGCTCCAAGGAGGAGACCAGTTTAAAGGTCCTGCATCAAGTTCCGGTTCCTACGTCCTGTCTCGGCTACCCTCTTCCACTGAGCCTGCCTGTCTGCACCTGATCCTGTCTGCTCCTGTGTGTGACCACCTGGTCATGCTTCTGGTCCCAGTCAGACTCTGAACCCTCCTGGGAGCTCTATGATGCCTGGAAGTCTGGATCCTGCCACCTGTTTCTGTTCCTGCCTAATCTGGATCCTGTTCCTGGCTGTTCTGAATCCCTGAACAGGATCGGCTTCCTGCAAGACCTCTGGGACTGCAGCACTGGGGACATTCTTGGACTGGACTGTTAAACCAGGTAAGTGTCCAACTCGGATAATCATCTTCTGTCAGATGATTGTGGTCACTTACCTGTGTTTCCTACTGGCTGTCTCTCCTTGAATACTGGGTCCATCTGTCCTCGGTTTCATGACAAAAATCCTCTCCAACTACCAGCTACTGGCCTTCTCCTGGGCGTGCTTTTTTTTTGGCTCTGACTCCAAACTTTCACTGAATGACAGGGTCTGACCTGTGATGATGACGCTTCTCTTTAGCACATGGCTACAGCTTACATTTTACAACAAAACCACAGGGTTTAAAAGTTCCCAGCTCACGATGTATGTTCTCACACTGTGAGAACACAAGCAGAGATGGCAAAAGTACTCACTTTCCGTACTTGAGTAAAAGTACAGATACTTGTGTTAAAAAATACTCTGGTAAAAGTGGAAGTACTGATTAAACTTCTTTACTCAAGTAAAAGTAACAAAGTACAGGCGTGTAAATTTACTTAAAGTATAAAAGTAAAAGTAGAAACCACTTTTTTCATGCCGTTGCCTACATTTTAAATGGATGTCTGCCAATAGGACTAGATCTACGTTGTGTTCATTTTCAATCATCTCGTCGTCCATGCTACTATGCTAACGCCACTGCCACCAAGCTGCAATGATTTGCCGCCAATGAATACCGCTGAATCTGTCGATTCATCTTGTAGTGGTGCGTCAAATGCAACGTAGATTCCCATCCAATTAGATTGAATTTGGTTTTGATGACGTGAAATATAATAACGGTAACTCCATTGAAATGATTCCAAACTAAAGTAACGAGCCAATTTTTTAAAATGTAAGGAGTAGAAGTAAAAAGTTGCCATAAAAATAAGTAGTAAAGTAAAGTAAAAATATCAGAAAAATCTACTTGAGTACAGTAACGAAGTATTTGTACTTCGTTACTTCCCATCTCTGCAGCCAAGGGCCAGTCAAGGAAAGTGAGGAAATTCTTAATGGCATCAACTGTACTCCAGGCAAGGCTAACTCTATGACAGAAAACTAGCTAATTTAAATAAAGTCCAACATCTCTGATGAGAGACTGGTTATATATCCTGTCAGACATATGGCATTAGCTTATTATTGGCTCTGTGTACATTTGACCCTGCATGTTTAATTTTGCCCACATGTGGGTTTATGAAATTAACAGTTATCCAAACGTGCATATTCACCTCATGTCTACATTGCATATCAAATAGAAATACATTTTTTCTCCCACTGTTAGAAAAAAATATGATTGGGGTTGTTTGTTTACTTCTCTCTAGTACTGCATTGTGCAGAATGTTATGTTAAAAATTGTTTCACCTGCAGGCTGGATTTGCTCTGCAATAAGGACATTGCTTCTGCAGTGTAACTATCAGATTCTGTCTGTGGAGTCAGACTCTGGAACATTTCCTAAGGACTGAAAATTGCGAAGGATTAAAGTACAATGTCATTACAAAAAGGGATGATCCCCGTTTGTGTTTAGCTTCTGCAAGATATTGCCTAATCCCCAGAACATGAAAGATAAACATTACTTTACCTCTGTCCCTAGAAATGAAAAATAAGTTCTACTTGCCTGCTTTTTACAGGATACATGTTAAATATACGACTCGTGTCAAATTTTAGAGGCTCTCAAATGGTTTTACCTGCTGCTGATGTCTGAACAAGGCTGTCCAGGTTGTCAGCGCTGAGGACTGTGGTTCTAACAGAGTGGGTTAGAACCTGATATTCAAGCGCAATGAGGATCTGCGGTGGACAGCGACGCTCGTTACACGTCACTGCATCCTATTGAGATTATTAGACTCTAAATTTAGTGGATAAATGTAAAAAATAAAAAAGCAGGATTATCTTAATCGACAGGAAATACAATACAAAGCATCAAACTCAAACTGGAAGTTACTGCTTTGGTTGGTGCTGCAAAACTTTACCTGACTGGGTCAATGACAAACAAACTCAGATAGTAGAAATAACTAAGAAATAACTTTTTTAATCATTTTTTAGCTTTAATTTTTATTTTCTTTTACAGGTGATACTATTTGTTGGCTTTTTATATCCTTGTTAGGTTTATTCAATGATGATTATAAAATTAATGTGAGCTTATGAAACATTTGAGCAAGGGATGCTCCACTGCACTGGAAAAACGATCTAGAAATTAGTAAAAAATTCTTCAATTAAGTGTATTTACCCTTGATTTGAGTAGGTAAATGAGATAGTTTGCCAATGGAATCAGTATTTTTACTCTTAAAATAAGATAATTAGATAGTATTCACTTGAAATAAGAGAATGCAATTGTGTTTTCTTATTTTAAGTGTAAATTGTCTTGTTCCATTGGCAAAATGTCTCTTTTATCTCCTCAATTCAAGAACAAATGCACTTATTTTAAGAAAAAATGACTTATCTAGATTTAGATTTTTTGCAGTGTTGTCATTCTAGTGGAACATCCTGTCTCTATGAACTGATCAATTGTTCTGTCAGAACAATACCCTGTTTGTAACCATGTGTCATGTTCTGTTAATAAAACGCTCTGCGGAGGAGGTCCAGTGGGAGACAGTGTGTTTGAGTCTGGGGTTCAACTGTCTCTCCTTCTGCAGAAGTTGTATCCATTACTGTGTATTTCAGTTCTTCTTTTGCAAACCTACATTTATGAACCCAACAATCCTTAGGTACCATTTCCCCAGGTTCTACATTTTACCATTGGGGTCTTTTTCTCTATTATGTTACATGAATATGAGACTTTTACTTTGAAGGCATTATATCAGTTTTTGCTTTTTTGTTTTTTCCTCACATTGAATAAGTGTCGGAAGACTTTTGGATGAAAGTTTAGTATCCTGTTACAAGTTTATGACTGCCTCAAAGTAGTCAAAGAAACCTTAAACTATTCTTTATTGGTGCACAGAGTCTCTGCAAAGTATAGAATGGGAATTCAAGACACAAATGCAATCATTTCACAGCATATTTCTGTTAGTTTCTTTGTTTACTGTGTGAAGGAGAGTTCGGTGGTACTGTTTCCTTCAAAATATTTAACTCCATGCATTTGTTGCACTGGTGAGGGTAGTCCTACTGTCTTCAGTTCAGCCCCGTAACATCGTTAATGTCATATTCTCACTCCAATGTGACAGCCCAGTGTTTTCTAAATGAAGAGTATTTACAGTATTTTTGTGATTTAAATTCTGAATGTTTCATTGAAAAAATGTGTCAAATTATTGCTTTGAATGAGGTATGTTGGAGGAAAAATACCACCTAAACATGCAGGCTTTTGATAAGAAATAGATGCTTGATTATGACGTTTGGTTAACTGATAAGAGTAACGCCAAAAAAGTAAAAAAAACAATCCACTGGACTTTGTTTCCAAGTTTGAAAACGTTTCTCTTCCCATCCAGGAAGCTTTTTCAATTCAAAATGTCAGAAATAGCGTTGAGTTTGAGGCTTTATAGCAGAGGTTACGGATTAGCAGATCGGACCCGGTCCGGACCCAGCCTGATTTAAAGCATTTATAAATTACCGCATGTTGTCCGACGACAATTTCTAAATGTCACTTGCGCCGCTTCTCCTGTTAATACGGTAAAGCCCTGCAGAGCGTCCGGCTCCAGGCTGCACGTGATCCAAATGAGCCAATGAGCTGTCAGTCTGGGTTGCTGCTGCTGCTACTTTTAGACACAGCAGGCAAACCTGTGGCAAGCCGGGCGATGGGAAAGAAGGAGAAGACCATGAGAAAAAGAGAGCAGAGAAAGTGTGGACTGCTGGAAGAACTGCGGTGAACTGGTGAAAGAAAAGTGAAATGGCGTGCTCAAAGATGACCTTGCACATTTAGAGGATGTTTGGCTCAACCTGCTGCTGTGAAGCAGGATTCTCCACCATGAACAGAATCAACAATAAATCTGGATCCAGGCTCAAAATGAGCACCTTGATATGTGCTTGAGAATGGCTTAGTCTCCGGTTAAACCCAGGTTTAAAGCCTTGCAGGGCAGCCTAAAGCCCACTGCCAACATTAAGACAGAAAAAAGAAAAACTGAACGATTTTTTTTTTATCTCTACTTCAAAAACAATGAGATTTTATATTTTTTAATATATATATATATATATATATATCTTTTTTAAAATAATTAATTGTACACTGCAAAAAAATCAAAATCTATACAAGTAATTTTTTCTTAAAATAAATGCGTTTGTTCTTGAATTGAGGAGGTAAAACAAACATGGAACAAGACAATTTACACTTAAAATAAGAAAACACAATTGCATTGTCTTATTTCAAGTGCAAATTATCTAATTATCTTATTTTAAGAGTAAAATTACTAATTCCATTGGCAAACTATCTTATTTACCTGCTCAAATTAAGGGTAAATACACTTAATTTAAGACATTTTTACTTATTTCTAGATTGTTTTTGCAGTGTATAACACTCATGCATAAACAACTCATTTTATTTCATTGTTAAATTATGTTTAAAGTAATGGATTATAATTAAAAATGTCTCTGGACCTTTACTGGTTGTTTGCTTTCTTTATTTGACCCCTGCTTTATACAGCAGCCCAACAAAGCCTTTTTTGCTTAGAAAACATGCAAATTGAAACGGACGAACGGGTCCACCACCTTTGCAATGGGGGTTGTTTATTTGTTAAGTGTAACTCAGAAGATCCTGCTTCATAAAAACTTTTGTCCAATCAACAGCAACAGCAATTATCAAGAAAAACTCAAAAACAGGCGAAATTTCAAAAGTTAAAACACATTCAGAGACACTTCTTCAATTTGTGGATTGTTTTGGTCCAGTTCTTTCATGAAGTGAAATGGATGCTCTGATTTCCAGTCTGTCTCTCCGCATTTCACCACTACTTCCCCTAAAGCAGTGGCTCTTTGGCTCTGCTCCTTTTGCACATAGGGAGCAAGTCGTAGTTCACAGTTTTTCAGCTCGTTCACAGAGCTCACCTTCAGGATCAGCACCAGGTTGTTGGATTCAGGGCTGAAGCTGCTCTGGGAACACGCTGGAGTCGGATACGTGTGCAAAGGTGGTAGACTACCCAGGACAGTTATGTCCTCCAGTGTCTGAGGTCTCCCAGAGAGGCTTAAAATAGTGACTGTAAGCGTTTGCTGCTCTGAACAAAAGGCGGCAGAGAAGTGCAGGTAAGGTTTGGATATTAGCGGTTTGCAGGATGCACTGGAGCCGTAGCTCACTGGAGCCATGGGAATTGGTTTTTCAGGAGTTAATTGTGAGGTGATATTGGACCGGGTGAGTCTGCTGAGTTCATCTGAGGATTTATAATGTCCAGCCAACGTGCAGCTCCTCTGCATGGCCTTACATGTTTTGCTTTGCCCAAACTGCATCCCCAGTTTGGGTAAAGAAGGCAGGGAAGCACGGCTTGGGTGAATGGGCTTATAGAGTGGGGCTGTTTGCATTGGTGAGCTTAGGCGACGCAGGGAAAAATAAGATGTTGCCTGCTCGTCTTCGTCAATTGGAGCTTGAGCTGGATAAGAGAGCACATGAGAGAAAGGTTCACCCTCAGAAGGTGCTGGACTGGTAAAGGTAGAGGGATATTCCATCGTTTCTCCATGCGGCTCATCATACAGCTGCCTGGATCCAGCGGTTTCTCTTGAGGAATTTGGCTCCTGAGTAGAGATCACAGTTTCAACAGCAGCCTGCGGTGGTGGGGCCGGTTTAGTGATTGCTGTAGAAATGTCACTTTTCTTCCAGCACAGAATGCATCCAAGGATCAACGACAGACAAAACACGATCAGTCCAACCAGAAGAAGAACCTGAAGATGAACTGCAGGAGTAAGAAAGAGCTGTGTTAGAGGCACAATCTTCTGCTAAAATGAAGAGGCAACCTTTTTCACTAATATTGTTGCACTTTGATTACCAAAATATATCTAAAGTCAGATAAGAAGTCATCAGGCATGAAGCTGCAGACTGTTTCCAAATAGGTTACTCTGCTGGTTAATCATTGTAAATTTAGCATTTAATACTAAAAGGTTGCTGTATTAAAGGTTTGATATTGTTGGTGTTGGTCAGCTAAAGTCCAGACCTGTCTATGTAGTGTATTTATTAGGATTATTAGTGGGACACAAACACAAATACTGTAGGGAAGGATTTAAGTGTTTTTGAATGATTTTTCTTTAACAAATGAACATCTAAAACATGTACCATTTAAAGGAAAATAGGGATGAAGAACTGATACATAAATTCAATACAGTTTATCAATATAGCGCCAATTCACAACACATGTCAACTCAAGGCACTTTACAGAGACGATTCAACCGGATCATCCAGTCAGATTGATTCAAAGTTTTCTATCCAAGTTAAACCAGTTGAATGCATCGACTCAGTGACTCAAAGGCAATCCCTCACATTAAGCAAGCTTGTAGCGACAGTGGAGAGGAAAAAGTCCCTTTTAACAGGAAGAAACCTCCAGGAGAACCAGGCTCTGTGTGAGCGGCCATCTGCTGAGACAGAAGCAGAGATACAAAAAGCAACTGTAAACCAGCTCCGCAGGCAACCCCGTTCAGGAAACACACATCCAGGCAGAGGAGCCCCTAGCCAGCTCCCACGTTAGAGGATGAAAGAGAGCGCACCCAGTTAGTCACAGTCAGAGAAACAAGACTACACTTAAAAACAGGCTATATCTATAAACAATGTTGATGGCGGCAGCACAGCTGATATTTCTCTCCAGGATGGAGTCACAGCCAAACAGGAACAGACCAGATGAAGCTACTATGAGAAAAAGCAGAGAGAGCAGAACGTTAGAGATTGAACTAACAGATTCTGCAGAGTGAAAGAATAGAGATAGAAAGAAGCAGAATGATGAAAAGAGGTCCCCATGTCCTCCAGCAGTCTAAGCCTATAGCAGCACATTGCTGGTGAAGATTCTCAGTCATAGTCATTCCAAAAAAAGTAAAAAAAATAAACAGGACTTTTGAAGACTTTTCGCTAAGGTAAGACATTTTGGTTCAATTTGAATTTTTCTAAGCCATAGCAAGGCTTTTGTTTTGGCCACTCTATAAGCCTGGAACTCAACGCTACTCCAGAAATTTTTAATTGGGAAAGCTTTCTGGATGGGAAGCGAAACGTCTTCAAACTTGGAAAACAAAGCCCTGTGTTCATTTTTTAACTGTTTTTGGAAACTTATAGCAGCACAAATGCAGAAAATAGCTCAGGATAACGTGAGTATTTTGGATGAGGTATAAGAAAAGTAGAGCCACAGTGTGGCCAAGGTAAATGCCCATATGCTTCAGCCACCTAAGATAAGTGGACAGAGCCTCCATAATGATCTTAAAAACTAATTTGTTCTTCCTGAACTGTTACTGTTGAACTCTTACTGTTAGCAACCTAAAATTATTACTGTTAAAGAATACCTAGGGGTGTAGTGTTATTACACAGCGTTAATAAATTGAAATTGTAATTATACTTAGCAGTTAGTTACTTGTGCACAATCCTCTCATTTAAAGAAAATACGAGTATTTCAACAAAAACTTTCTTCTTTTAAGATTGCTTCTTCCGGAGTTGACTTAAAAAAGTTATTTATTTTTATTCTTGAGCTATTAAATCAAAGTAATGAGAAAAGATTTTTCAACAAAGAGTGTATCAGCCAATATGAGGTCACAATAAAGACAAATTATTCATTTTGACAATTCTCTACGCTGCAAACCTGTTCTAAAAGTATATACGTGTATTTTCTATTATCTTTTGCAGGTTAATAAGAGGAGTACACGTTTTTTTTTATTATTATTATTTATTTTAACCCTAAATCATCCTAAATCAACCTAATTCATCATTGGCAAATCAATGGAAAATGCACTTATTTCAAAAAAATCGACTTAATTAGATTCAGTTTTGCACTATTTTATTTAATAAACATAAAAACTGAAAATTAACTTTGAAATATTTTTCACTAATCACTGAGAAACATAGTAGCCGTGAACTTTTTTAATGTCCCAAAAATGATCTGTTGCCATAAACTGACAGGTAAAGCCTAATCTGAGATTGTCCCACCGAAGCATTAAAACCAAGATAACCAGATTTTGTGTATAATCCTGTACTGAACAGGTTCCTGTTCTCCCAGAATGGATGAAAAATTACTTATGATATGTTTTCAGTAAATGTGTTTTACCCAGCTGTTTTTCTGGAAGGAAATTCATTTATTCAACATAAAATTCAGTAATATTTTAAAGCCTTATGTTGTAAACTAGATAAATATGTGCATCACCTTTAAGATCATACCTTCTAATTGTTTGGTGAAGAGGACCTGCACCAGGAGCCAGAAGAAGAGAACGACCATGATTCCTTCAATCATACCCTTGCAGCAGAAGAGCAGGACAGATTGCCACAGAGGTTGGCCTGGGTACTCTTCATCGTGATAAGGCATGGTACCAAAAATATGCATCACATAGGTCAGAGCCTGCTTAAAAAAAACATCCAGTCCAAAGATCATATCAAAAATCTCATGTTTTCAAAATGATTCTTGGCTCTCAGCCCTAAAAAGTACCTGACAGGAATTAGTCACTTTTAGAGGATGAAGTAAATCAATTTTTTAGAACAATAAAGGCACAAAAAACAGGGGGAAAAAAATCTTAAAATCAAATTCCTGTAAAAAGGAGGCAGGATTTCTATTACTATTCACGATCTTTTACCCTAAAACTTCACATATTTCCAGTCTTCATCCCAGGAAAGCACTGCTCTCATTTGTTGAGTGACTTGACGAGAATTACTCCTCCCTGGTGGGTGGGGATTTTCCAGCACATAATACCTCTTTAACATCTCTATTCTGCCGCTGTCCCAGATGCCAGTGAGTTGTCACTATAGGATAACTATCACAGCAGTAAATCCTAAAAACCCATCCCCCACCAACATCCCCTCACCCCATGGGCTCTGACTTCCTGTAGCACCGCCTGCAGAGAGCATGCAGAGAGCAGGAGGATGAAAGAAGTAATGATTTACTAAGACGTCTTTGATACTCCCTCTTTCCCTCGCATGACATGCAGATTCTTTACCTAATCTCAAAAATCAAGTTTAGAGCCTGATTGAAACTAAGAAAACATTGAGATAAAAAAAAAAAAAACCTTTACAGACATCAATTTAGATTTCCTCTATTTTTTCAACCCTTTACTAAATTAAAACAAAAACTAAAATACTTCATATAAAAGCATATTGTGAAGTTATTAAAAACTGTGTTCCGTTACCATGGCGAAGCGTTTTGTCATCATCAAATTAATCAGCTGTGCTAAGAACAGCCAAATTCAGAGCTTTTGTTTGAAACCACTGGAATGATTCAATTGAAGGTTTCTCCACTGATCTCTATTCACTGGATTGCTGGTAGTACGGGGTCGAAGTGAAGCCAACGGCCGCCATATTTGTTCTCCCTAGTTAGACCGGTCGCAATGTAAACAATACGTGCGCTACAGCATCAAACGACGCTGATGTTCTCACTTTAAGGGGAAATTAAACTTTTAAAATAAAGATAAATTCATCACTTTGAGACACTGGCAGTTTCATAGCATTAGTAGATTACTTTAAATTATAATATATATCACATTGCGTAAGTCAATGAAGTCTATAAATCATGTAACATATTATATAAATCCATCACAGCAAAATTGAGCATAATACAGATGTGCCAAAAGTGCTAAATTGATTATATACATGTATAACATTGTTATTGAATTACATCTTGCATATAATTTCAGGATTTTACATAAAGACTGAATTACAAGTACATATATAGTATGCTATAGTATTTATATATTTGCAAATTGTGCACGAATGAAGGCATAAACTGTTATACTGTGTATAACAGTGTGTGGCCCAGTATTCAAGGTGAGACAGTCTGTACTGGGAAGTTCAGAACATTTAGTAAAATAAACAGAAACTGAACTGAAGCACGCTGCTGAGGATCTGCGGACCTGTAGCCACTGCAGGAAGGGGGCGGGGCACTGCCCAATCACTGACACACTGGAGGGAGAAACACAGGTAAGTGACCACCATCATCTAACAGGAGATGATTATCAGAGCGAGACACTTACCTGGTTTAACATCCTCTGAATAATAAGCCACTGCACTACCAACGAGATGCGGCCCTGAGCCGCTCAGAGTTTCCCCGATGCTGCAGACCCGAAGAACATGCAGGCAGCCGATCCAGAACAGGTATTGAAGGAATAGTACACCCAAAACATGATTAGCCTTCATTTTCTACTCACCCCCATACTGAACAACACTCTGGAGTACTTTTTTGATATCTCAAATGCATCTGGAGATCTGGGAGGCTTCTTGCTGTCTGCTGACATTCAAATAATGGAGGTCTATGGCGCCCGAGACAGAAAGGTCCATAAAAGTCCACAAAAAACGTGTCAATGTTTCTCCATACTGCTCGTCCAATGTATTCCAAGTGTCCTGAGTGGGTAGCGTCCATAATTTAATCGAAACGAAGTCATTTAGAATGTTTTTAGAGCATAAACAGTAGTTTATAGGATTTCCTAAAAGCGCGCGCCTGCGAGTTCACGACGCTACGGAAACCGCGGCAGACCAAACCAGATGAAAGTGCGCATTCAGCGTCTGCTCTGCCGATAATTCAAGCGTAGAAGAAGAAATGCACTGTTTACCTGTGCAAAGACAGAAACAACGAAAGAAAAATGTCTGAGGACTTCAGTGTTGAGGAAGAGCATGAGTTCTTTGCAGAGCTGAATGCGCACTTTCACCTGGTTTGGTCTGCCGCGGTTTCCGCTTCTCTAAGTTCTCCTTAGGTGTGAGTGTGTGCATGAATGGTTGTTTGTCTCTGTGTTCCTGCAGTGGACTGGAGACCTGTCCAGGATGGACCCTAGCCTCGTGAGACCATCCTGATCTCGTGAGCTTTCAAGGTTTCACTCGCAGATCAATCTGGAGACTCTCCGTTGAAGAAAATTTGCAGCCGTTCACCAAACAAATGTTCTATCAGTGTTGGCTTTGAGACGGGTTGAGGTGTGACGCAACGAGAAGCGCGACAGTTCAGTCTAAAGAACATGGCAGCTTCAGCCGATGAAACTAGCGTTAGCGTGGCTATCGAGCAAGTTTTATCGGAATTACAGAGAATTTCTTCACTGAAAGAAGAGCAAAACACTGCTCTGGAGGCTTTTCTCAGAGGAAAAGATGTTTTTGCTCTTCTCCCGACTGGTTTCGGCAAGAGTAGCCTAGCTTGTGGTTGTGTTTTCATCGTCGCTCTGTTAGTACGTCATATGCTTGGTTGATCTGATTGGTTTATTTGGCCCGTCTATCACCAACATAGGCCAATCAGCTAACCAGTATTTTCACCCCTTCCCAAAATTACTTCAACGGAAGGTTTCCAGATGGATATGCGGAGCAAATCCATCTGGCGGAGTCAGGTTAGATGGACACCACCTCTCGCCCGTAGAGAGCTGGAGATAGACACCAGCACCCCTTGCAACCCCAGCAGGGATAAGTGTGACAGAAAATGGATGCTATTTGTTATCAAAACTACTGAAATTAACAGTCTTATAACTATTTGTATTGTTATAGCTTTGACCGCATTATGTTATAATTGTATATAGAGTAATTTCTGTTTTTTGCAGCAAAGGATTAAATAAGCATCGTCTTCTTCTGGCACTTCTTCAGTGATCCGTTTCCTTTGTTTCTGAATTTTTAAATCATAATTTTATGATCAAATAAAAGTGAATAAAAAATTTTATGATTTTTATTTAACCTCTATGAATAAATCTTAGTATTCTTAGGTTTTTGCTCCACTCCGTCATGTAGCAGAGTCGAGTGTGTCTTTAAATCTTTTATTGATTATGGCTTCTATTGCAAACAATTGATAAAAAATTAAACCATACGATATAAATAGTTTCACACAGAATCCATCCATCCAATCATCCATTTTCCTTACAGGGAGTTCAGCGACTATTGAGCTAGAAGTTGGGAACACCCTTGATAGTTTACCAAATCTTTCAGGGTGAAACATAGATTGGAAAACAACGCATATATGTATTGTTGGAGAATTATTTATAAAAACACCAGTTCAGTCAGCTTTAGGAATCCAAAGGTTTTCAAACACCACACATCACTCTTTTATTTCTCATGGCTGCATATCCAAACAAATAATGAAACCGAGGACCAGCACAGAGGTAAATGCCAATAACACAGTGGCAAAGATATGTCTATTTGATTGTCCACAAAGATTATTTTTAGCTCTTGGCTAAAACAAACACACGCCGCATGCAGCATTGCATATTTCTAGCAGAATGAGGTAGCAATGTGTCAGTGTTCGCCTTTCTCAAAGAGGGAGATCATCGTCACCCATACATTCTCTGCTTTTATACAAACAACAAAGCAACACATTAGCAGATATCGAACAAGGATGAGAAACTTACAAACATGGGAAGACAACTGAGGTAAAAGTTGCACCGCTTCAACATTACTTTACAAACAGTTCCCTGCATAAACATCATCTCACTTTCACAGCTGGCATGAAATAAACGTTTAAACCCCAAGAGATTAAAAAAAAAGAACAGTAAATAGATCACAACATGAAAGAGTCCATCCAGTCTTGTTGCGTCTATGGATGCAAGTTTCAGTTTATATATATTCCCTGAAGTTCACTAAGAAAACTATTAAGTAGCAGTCAAGTTAACCTGAACAATTACCAGAAAAGATAAAAAAAAAAGGCATAAGCAAATCAGTTAAAGATAGATGCTATGACACAGAGCTAAGGCTTTTTGGTCTCTTATAGCTGCACAGCTACACTATTATGCACCATTATGCAAACAAATCCTAATAAAGTTACTGGAAATCAATAACAATGAAACTGAAATCCAATGAGCTTTACCAAGGATGCAAATACTGTGCATTCCACACACTTCATAACAACCTAGGCCAAGTTTTATTTTATATTTTTAGATGATTTTTTGCTACGTAAAAAATGAAAACACTAACAGGCACTAAAGTAGACAGATTTAAATCTAGATTTATGGGCTTTCATATCAACTAACGATGTTAAATCATTCCAAAGACATTGAGCTGTCAGAGAAATTGCAAAATGATTGATTGTTTCCTGTTTGATTGGTTATTTTTCCCTGAAGTTTCTATTTTTAGATGGGAGAGGCATATTAGGTGGATTACAGACAGATTTCAAAAGCTTTAGTTGGCTCCCTTTGAGGAGGTGGAGGAAGAGGAGGATGGACTGTGCGACGAGGAGAGGGCGCTGAAGCCACTCGTGCCTGCAGGAGTGATGATCTGTGATGAGACAGGAGCAGCTGGCTTTTGGGCTAACAGCGTCCCTGCACAATGAAATAAAATAGAAAAAGGTGTTAATACCAGGGGAAAAAAAAAAATAAGTTCATATAGTTTATAATGCATGGCAGATGCAGCTCCTTTATTTACATTAGAACAAATACAACCAACCGACATGTCGTGAACGGCACAATGACTCCACTTACAAGGAAATGCAGGTCAGTGTCAATAAAGCGTCGACAAACAGGACAGTTTTACTGGTTACAAACGTAACCTGTGGAGCCGTTTAGCATGATCAGCAAACCTTAATGCAAAAAGCCTACGGCAACATTGTTAACATCAAGCCAGCAGCAGGGCTTTGTCAATCTTTCCCTTTTTTACAAGTCTCCTTTTAGGTTTGGGGAATAGAATAAACTGCTGCAACGTCTAAAAACACTGAGTGAATCATGCCGGAATCACATGTTCTCAACTGAAAGCCTTTAACCCATTTTTTTAATAAAATCCATGTGAATCCTAGCAAAACTGCTGGAGGCAAAGAGCCTTATGCTCCTGCAGTTAAAGGGAGTTTCACTATAGAACAAATCAAGATCACTGATTGGTCAGTTGCTGATAAAGTGACGAGCCTCCAAGATTCATTTACAGGCGTCCTCAACTCATCAAGTCTGTAAACGGACTTACATGTTTAAATTGTAATTAAAAATCCAGTTCTATGGAGTTGGTCAAAGAACATAGCCTCGTGAGACCATCCTGATCTCGCGAGCTTTCAAGGTTTTACTCCCTAATCAGTCTGGAGACTCTCCGTTGAAGAAAATTTGGAGCCGTTCACCAAACGAACGTCCAATCAGCGTTGGCTTTGAGGCGGGTTGAGGTGTGACGCAACGAGAAGCGCGACAGTTCAGTCTAAAGAACATGGCGGCTTCAGCCGATGAAACTAGCGTTAGCGTGGCTATCGAGCAAGTTTTATCGGAATTACAGAGTATTTCTTCACTGAAAGAAGAGCAAAACACTGCTCTGGAGGCTTTTCTCAGAGGAAAAGATGTTTTTGCTCTTCTCCTGGATATGCGGAACAAATCCATCTGGCGGCGTCAGGTTACAAAGAACATGGAAGAAGAACAATTTGCATCGTGAAGAAAGACAAACAAAAAAGAATGATAAGGGGGAGAGTCGTTTACGTTTAGAGTAAAGGTTAGAACCAAATATCCAACTCTTTAAATATCAAAAAACAAACACAAATCCACAAAAAAAGCAATTTTTCAATCCATCATCTGAAAGTGGAACCAGCCAGGAATCCGCTTTTACCAGCAAGGAAAAGTATGACTCCAAGGAGCAGCCAAGAGGCTCATGGTGGCTCTGCAGGAGCTGCAGAGATCCACAGCTGGAAGAATCATGCTGACATAACAAGCCTGGTTTGTTCCTGCACTCTTCAAAGCCGATGATTTTGGAAGGAGGACAAGAAAACAGTTAAAATAAGATATAAAAAGTTAAAGATTAACACAAGTCAGGTAGGAAACATGGCTAATTTTTATAGGATAGTGCTCTGATCAAACAGACTAGATCTGAATCTAAACCCTAAATACATTCAGTTTGCAGCTCCAGATTCCTCTTTTATCTTTTCTGCTGATATTGCAGAGAGAGGTTTAAAGTAGGGCTGCAACTAACGATTATTTAGCAAAACGATTAATCTGTCAATTATTTTTTTCAATTAATAACTGGATAGCAACAGGTTCTTTAAAAAGGACCTTTTACGAAATTAAACCAGATGACACAAAAATCTGGAAAAAAGCAGATTGACAGAAGGAATAAAAAAAAAAAATCTTAAATGAAAAATATTTAAATATTTTTTACAATTTTGATAAAACATTACTGCCCTTAGTGGGTTGCTCTGTCAGCTAACGGCATTTTCGCAGTCAACAATAAATCAATTACTAAATTAGTTGACAATTATTTCAATAATCGATTAATCACGATTAATCCGATTAAGTGTTTCAGCCCTAGTTTACACTGCAAAAAACTGATAGCTAAGTGAGTCATTTTTCTTAAAATACAAGCATTTTTTTTCTTGAATAAAGCAGGTAAGTGAGACTCTTTGCCAATGGAATAAGGCAATCTACATCTAAAATAAGAAAAAAAACAACTACTAACTTATTTAGAGTGCATAATATCCAACTAGCTTATTTTACATTTATTTTAAGAGTAAAAATGCTCATTCCATTTATTTAACTGCTCAAATTAAGGCAAAATGCACTTAATTTAAGACATTTTTACTCATTTTTAGATCATTTTTAAAGTGTAAAGCTATGCAAAAAATTGAAATCTAAATAAGTAATGTTTTCTTAAAATAGGTGTTTTTTTTATTGAGGAGGTAAGTGAGACATTTGGTCAATGGAACAAGACAATTTACATTTAAAATAAGAAAAAGACAATTGCATTGTCCTTTTTCAAGTATATATTATCTAATTATCTTAACAGAAAAAAACTAATTTTATCGGCAAATCATCTTTTTTAACTACTCAAACTAAGGGTAAATACACTTTTTTACTTATTTACCATTGTGTTAGGTCCTAACCTGGCTTTAGGGGTCTTTGTAACCGTATTAGTGATCTGTCTGCTGTGTTCTCTAATGTTTTTAAACTTGTCCTCACAGAAGAGCTGCATTTATACAGAGATTAAATTATAAACATGTTTGTAGCACTAATATTGACTCATCAGCTCCCTTTAAAGGCCATCTACTTGCCTTGGAGTTTATTTAGGGGTATCAGAGTGAAGTGGTTAATCACACTTAGAAGGAACATTTAATTTCTTGCTTGGAAAATTTCCAGAACCACGTCTTTTTTTGTTCACCTCCACGTTGTGACACATTCTGTTATTGTATTACGTTAAATTACAATAAATGCAACGTTTTCCATAAAGTACAGGTTTCATAACTGACCTGAGTAAACCGTACCGTTGACCTCCACAGACACGCTGATGCTTGCTGGTCCATCAGTAGAGATGCTGAGTGACAAATCCTTTTTCTTTTCTGCAGCACATAGAAGGCAGTTATTGGCAGATGTTCTGCATGGTTATCCTTAAACTAGCATTTCTAATAAGGAATCATAAAGGACACACCATGCCCGTTGTTCAGCTTGAGGCTCATGGGGTTAAAGTGGGACGCCATTGCCAGCAGGTTTTGCTGCAAGGCCTGCTGCATGAGGCGCTGCTGCTCCTCTGCAAGCCTCATCATTTTCTTGTCCGGACCGTCGACCTGAGCGGCACCTGCTGCTCGATCCAGTCTCTCCCGGAGATGCTCTAACGTGGCGACTTGTGCGATCTGATGTGGATGACCGTGCTGCTGCTGATGGTGGCTCAGAGACAGAGGCAGCCTCGATATTACAGGCGTAGAAGTTTCATCTGATCAAAAAAAGAAAAGAAAAAAAAGTCAAAACACACCAGATTGATTTTAACTCGGATTCTGTTTTGAGATCTTCGTCAGAACTACCTGTGCTTCTTTTTAAATTTGGACTGGCAGACATGTTCATGCCGTTGTGTGAGGTAGGGGTAGTTTGCATCGTAGGTGAGGACAAGAAGGAATGCGGAGCCGAACTCGGGGAAGGAGAGAAGCGGTAAAGGCTGCTGGTGTAGCCGGGACGTCGACCCTCTCTCCGGTTACTGTCGATCGCAGCCTGCAGCTCACCCGGAGAGCTCAGACGCTTCTTCTCACACTCAAATGGGTACAGATATTTCATATACCTGCAAGAAAAAACATAAATTTAATAAGAAATTTAGTAAATAAATAAAAAGATCTAGTGTTTATTTTATTTTAACAGCGTCCTATCTGGCTATAGGGCAATAAGAATAATTGTCTTGATGCCAAAATGAGCCCAACAGTATGGGAGAATTATCCTGCCATAATGCAAGAGCACATAATTTCAATTTGAGAAAAGAATTTCATCTTCTTGCACTCAAAACTTATAATGCTCACACTCAAAACATGCGCTCTCTCTCAGATATTTTCTCTTCTCTCTCAAATCTTTGTTTCTTCTTTCAGATTTAATGCTTCTTGCACAGATATTTTCTCCTCTAGCTTGCCTCCTTCTCTTCGCGCAAAAGCCGCGCTCTGCTCGATTCTCAGTTACGCTCGCAAACCCGTAGGCTCTGCTTGCGGATTTTATTTTCTCTCTCTCGGATTGGATCGGATCGTCGCCTAGCAACCTTTCCAGCCAATAGAACGACAGCCTCAGAAAGGGTGTGCTTGTCTATCCCTACTGAGTGTGCCTGTGATAAACCTTATCAACAATAAAATGGCTTTTTAATTTAAAAGCTATTAAAATAAGAAGCTGAAAAACAAAAACAAATCAGGAAAATGAAAAAAAGGAAATAATCATGGGAAGATGGGAAGTAACGAAGTACAAATACTTTGTTACTGTACTCAAGTAGATTTTTCTGATATTTTTACTTTACTTTACTACTTATTTTTATGGCGACTTTTTACTACTTACATTTTTACACAAATATCTGTACTTTCTACTCCTTACATTTTTAAAAATTGGCTCGTTACTTTAGTTTTGAATCATTTCAATGGAGTTACCGTTATTATTTTTCACGTCATCAATACCAAATTCAATCTAATTGGATGGGAATCTACGTTGCATTTGACGCACCACTACAAGATGAATCGACAGATTCGGCGGTATTCATTCGCGGCAAATCATTGCAGCTTGGTGGCGGTGGCGTTAGCATAGTAGCATGGACGACGAGATGATTGAAAATGAACACAACGGAGATCTAGTCCTATTGGCAGACATCCATTTAAAATGTAGGCAACGGCATGAAAAAAGTGGTTTCTACTTTTACTTTTATACTTTAAGTAAATTTACAAGCCTGTACTTTGTTACTTTTACTTGAGTAAAGAAGTTTAATCAGTACTTCCACTTTTACCAGAGTACTTTTTAACACAAGTATCTGTACTTTTACTCAAGTACGGAAAGTGAGTACTTCTGCCATCTCTGGATAAACCTTATCGACAATAAAATGGCTTTTTAATTTAAAAGCTATTAAAATAAGAAGCTGAAAAACAACAACAATCAGGAAAATAAAAAAAGGAAATAATAATCACCAATGAAAAGTCACTTAATTTCTGCTGGAGGCAGAATTAGCATCTGCCCTGACTAGCAAACTTTTTTTTTTTTCTGCCTCCAGCAGAAATTAAGTGACTTTTCATTGGTGATCATTTCCTTTTTTTATTTTCCTGATTGTTGTTGTTTTTCAGCTTCTTATTTAATAGCTTTTAAATTAAAAAGCCATTTTATTGTCGATAAGGTTTATCACAGGCACACTCAGTAGAGTTAGACAAGCGCACCCTTTCCGAGGCTGTCGTTCTATTGGCTGGAAAGGTTGCTAGGCGACGATCCGACTGCAATCCGAGAGAGAGAAAAAAAAAAATCCGCAAGCAGAGCCTACCGGTTTGCGAGCGTATCTGAGACTCGAGCAGAACACGGTTTGTGCGCAAAGAGAAGGAGGCAAGCGAGAGGAGAAAATATCTGTGCAAGAAGCATTAAATCTGAGAGAAGAAACAAAGATTTGAGAGAGAAGAGAAAATATTTGAGAGAGAGCGCATGTTTTGAGTGTGAGCATTATAAGTTTTGAGTGCAAGAAGATGAAATTCTTTTCTCAAATTGAAATTATGTGCTCTTGCATTATGGCAGGATAATTCTCCCATACAACAGATTTTACGATCAGAAGTGGAGCAGTACGGCTATCGCCATAGTGTTCCGCTTGATTTATGCATATAAATTGCTTTATCATAATTATGCAGGGAGTTTTACAGATTATATGGACACTGCAATGTAGGTAAAACAGGAAAGGAAAAACAGAAAAAATAGGAAAGAAAGAGGAAATTAAAAGGGAGATAATGATCAAATATTTCCAGTCTGCTTCATCACCTGCAAAGAGATGGAAAATGAATAGCACAATCAAAGGACATGGTACAAGATATACAATAAAGTAACACCTAGATACTATCACTGAAGTATATGTATTATTTAACCTGACATGTATTCTGTTACCTGAAGATAAGAATGTGAGCTTTCTGTATGGAAGTGAATCTCTAAGCACCTGGAACCTGTAGTAAAGATCTAGTGTTTAAAAAATGTGAGCTATAAAAGGGACATGGCAAAGATCTGGGCAAAGGGAGTCTGATTTAGGCACACGGAAAACTGATCTTTTTGACCACACCCTAAAAGCACCATAAACACACCCTTCCTATGGTAAAATGTAAAGGTGGCAGCAGATGGAGCCAAATACGATGGAAGAAAATATGTTTAAGGCTGCGAAAGACTTGAGACACTTTCAGTTTCAATTCAATTCAGTTTATTTCTATAGCGCCAATTCACAACACATGTCATCTCAAGGCACTTTCCATTTCAACTAGATCATCCAGTCAAATTGATTCAAAGTTTTCTATCTAAGGAAAACCAGTTGATTGCATCGACTCATTGACTCTTCAGCAATCCCTCACACTAAGCATGCTTGTAGCGACAGTGGAGAGGAAAAACTCCCTTTGAACAGGAAGAAACCTCCAGCAGAACCAGGCTCAGTGTGAGCGGCCATCTGCTGAGGCCCACTGGGGTTCAAGGAGACAGAAGCAGAGATAGAAAAAGAAGCATAGATACAAAAGGCAACTGTCAACCAGCTCCACAGGCGGCCCCGTCCAGGAAACACACAGCCAGGCAGACGAGCTCCAAGCCAGCTCCCATGTCAGAGGATGAAGAGAGCACATCCAGTTAGTCACAGTCAGAGAAACAGGACTACACTGAAAAACAGGCAGATCTCCAGCATCTAGAAACAAAAGTGTTGATGGAAGCAGCACAGCTGATGTTTCAGCAAAAGAAAGTCCCTTAACAATCAGAGCGAACTGAAGCCGTGTGTTTTAATGTCCCTGTCAAAATCAAGACTAAGACCAAAGAATATGTGGTTAGTCTTCAGGGTGTGATTAGGGCTGCAACTAATGATAATTTTTCAAATTGACTAATCTGTCGATTATTATTTTTGATTAATCCATTAAGAATCGGATAGCCAAAGGATTCTTAAAGAATATTTTTTACAAAATCAAAACAAGGTGAAAATAAAACATTTCCACTTTAAGAGTTCTGCATGTAAAACACCTTAAAATGCAAACTGTTTTTATAAATTTTTTTAAATCTTGGTATAATTCCTGCTCTAAGTGGGTCACCCTGTCAGCTAAAGGCATGTTTTTCAGTCTCTACACTCCAGTTAACCATTAACCGATTGCTTAATTAGTTGACGATTATTTCAATAACTGATTATTCCAAATTATTCCGATTCGTTTTTTCAGCCCAGTATAGGAAACGTTGGTGATCGCTGAGGTTTGGATTGAGTTTGATTTATGTAGAGAAAGAAAAATGGACCAAAAAAAGGCTAATTTCATGATGTGAAAAGCTGGTAGAGACAAAAGAGTCAGAGCTTTAATTACAGAGGAATGTTTCCCACTGTGGTAATGGAGGGGGGGCAGGGAAACAAAAAAAAAACACTTTCTATTATAAATTAAAATTCAATGTGTGTTACTTTTTTTCCCTCAATAAAACGTACAAAGGCTTAACGTTTTGCCTCTGTAGCCATTACAGAAAGAAAAAGAAAACTGCTGATTTTTTTCTTATCTCACTGTGGAGTAAATTTACTTTTGCAGTTTAATGAAGTAAACTGAACCCGATTAAACAATAAAAAAAGGTAATAAAACAAACATTTCGTTCTATGTTTACTTGTATAAAACAGTTTTTACTCGCGTACTGAAACTATGGCATCATAGTGTATTTTTTAGTGTGTCTAATGAATTATTAAAACAAAGAGGTAATAAAAAATAAACTAAAATATTTTATTCATTGAGGTCAAATTTTATTTTCTCTTTTAATGTTTCCTTAAAGCCCATTTCCACTTTTTAGACCTGATCCCTGCTTGGGGCCTGTTGATTTCTGTAAAGTACGACAGCTGATCAACTTAAAATAAGCCTCAATGTTAGAAATTATTTATTTACTTATTTATAAAACTACATTTTACAACAATTTATAAGGAGAATTAAACAGGCAGTTATTACCGGTGGCAAAAACCTTCTTCCGGTCCATCAAACTATGATCACTATGTTGTAATAACGGTAAAATATGGAACAAAGGGGTAAAAATCACCTGCAGCTGCACCTCAACACTGTTCTTTATATGGAGATAGAAACAAAGCCCAGGTAAATGCCCCTCTTTGCATGTTTAGTCTTAAAACATACAAGCTTTCCCTTTTTTTTTTTTTGCATTTAAACAAATTCCATTTTGTTAAACAGTGCCGTAAGTCTCTTTCCCCATTGTTAATCAGCAACAGCGCCTGTTTTAGATATTTACGGTAGGTTAAACAAGGTTCCTACAGCATAAGGCAAGTTAAATCCAAGACTTTTACAGACTTTTTAATGTCACTTGAAATAAAAATTTATGACCAAATTCACAAGAAAACCTGCTTACAACAACTTAACCCAAAAGTTTATTTTAACATAAACCACTGCACTAATGTTTCAAATATTGAAAAGCTTCCCATACAGGAAGAAAGCTAAAAACACACAAATGACAGATATATTTGAACAATTATTTAACTGAATTCACAAACTTTGTTTTAGCAGGGAACAAAACTAATCAGTTTTAAAGCCCCAACATAACCAGTGCTAAGTCTTTTTTGCAGCTATTTTTCTTTGTATGGTTTTCTTAGTATGTTTGATTTGGTGATAAGTGGAGGCGTTGCAGAGACAAGGGTGGAACTAAACTGAGAAATACCGGCTGTTTCTCTGTAACTCCATTTTGACGCTTTGTGTTTCGTGCTTCGCATGTGCGACTCCACTGCCTTAAAGGCACACTATGCAACATTTTTCAGTTAATTAATGTGTTCCATGACGTTTTGGATGATTAAATGAGTCATTTCAGGTCGAACAAAGGTTTTCTCGGCCGCCCTGGTGGTCTGTGGGGGAAATACCGTACTTGCAATTGCAGGAGCCCTCGGCCCGCACCCACAGGCTCAGAAGTCTCGTGCATCGCGAGAGTCGGTCTTGCTTTACGGCGAGAACTGCTACACGCCCCCAGTGAAAGGCATGCTCGTTGCTAGCGCAGTGGCGATATTTGTGCAGTTATCATGGCGGAACCCGCAAGAATTTTCAAACTCTAAAATTTGAACAAAATAGTCACTTACCGCAGTAGACATGGTGATTCGTTGCGTTCGCCTGTCTGCTAAGCTCAAAACAACCGCGCCTGGCTTGACGGAGAAACCAGGAGAACAGCTGAGCATATTTACGACAGTGCACTTTTACTTTCGCCCTCTGGGGGGAGCCTCGCTGGAAAATCAACACCGGTTGCATAGTATACCTTTAATTCCCATCGTTCCGAGCTTGAATGACTTCTTGCATAAATCCACTGAGCCTCATGTATGTTCCCTGGTTTTAGCCATGGAGAAAACTCTTGGCTGGAGACAATTTTGGTTACATTTCCACTTGCTCATATTTTCCAGACAAAAAGTTAATGGCGCATCTCCCAAATGTCCCGGCCGCAACAACGCTTTATTGGTTCCGCTATCGGGACGGAACCAATAATGGAGAACCATTATTTTCTTATTATTAAAAATGTTTTAACATTTTATTTAGATTACAAAAATAAATCGTTATAAAATAATTCTATTTATGATGTTTTAAAAATTAAGACCTACGAAAGACTGATTTAAGACATTTTAATACCAATTAAGGCCTTAGTTTTATTTTGAAGAATTCAATGCCTTTTAAGACTTTTTAAGGACCTGCGGGAACCCTGGTTAAAGCAAAAAAAAAAAGAAAAAAAAAACACATACTGAGTGCGGAGGGTGAAGGCAGCGCTGGTGATGGAGGTGGGCAGATTGAGACCTTTGGTGATCTCCCTCCAGATCTTCTTGTTAATAACCTCCACCAGTCCTCCCTTCTCCGTCACAAGCTTATAGAGCCTGTACAGGTCCAACACCTGCTTCGCCATGATGGGAATGCGGTTCACAGGAGTTCCTGCACACAGAAGGAAAATGGATGTTAGGAAAACAGAGGTTTTTGTCTTGCAGAGTAGTTGAAACCAAACATGTTGGATCTGCTAGTAGACTATTAACAGAGGATTAAAAGGCAGGATGAGAACATTTTCTAATGTGCACACCTGAGGGCCTTAGGTCAATGTTAGGTAATGAGGTTTATCTTGTGTAATCCATGCGGATCGACCTGACCAATCAGGCTCATTTCAGATAAATGGGGGTGGGGAGGAAAGCAGCAGCAAAAGCCTCTGATTGAGCGGGGAGGGGGTGGGGGGTGTTGTGGAGCCAAATAGGTCTGAAAGAGACGCTGGTTGACATTTAACCCCCGCAATCCTATTTGGAGCCAATTAATGGAGGAGACTAAAGCGCAGCTGTAGGAATACGATTAGCTGTGCTTCGACTGAAAACACGGCTGGCTTAGAAAAACAAACGCTCCACAAGTCCAAAGGCAGGCAGGCAAAAGAAGAAAGAATATTTCTAGTTTTATTTTTTTATTTTTTTTGTTTTTTTTTGCAACTGAACTTAATTAACCTCGTTATGATTTTATATGTATAGAGGAAAAATGAAATGATACACAATCCAATGAAAAAAGAATAAAAATAGTTTCTGGATATATTTCTGTATGAATCTTAAAAGTTTGGCATGCAGCCGTTTGTTCGGCTACTGGTTTAAAACGTATAATTTCCGTCTGTCAGCAAGGCTCAAAGATCAGAGCTAAATGGAGAATCTGTGGTTAGAGATGAAAATTAAAGAGAAAAAAAATCTAAACAACAATTCTACTTTTTCTTCTCTCCCTATGATGGGTACATACATTATATTGCCGACAGTATTTGCTCTCCCTTCATTATTATTGGAATCAGATGTTCCAATCAGAGATCAGGAACCCAAAATGTTCAAAGAGGCATATTGGAGAAAAAAAAACCAGAAAATAAATCTGCCACACAAGCCTCCTAAGGGATCTACGTATATATCAGCCCACTAGCAAACTAAGTAGCTTTAAATACAGCCAGGAGAATGGTACTTATTTGACTGTATTAGTCCAAGTGTAAAGTTTGGTGGAGGAGTGATTATAGTGTGGGGCTGTTTTTCAGGAGCTGGGCTTGGCTCCTTTGTTCCGATGAAAGGCGTTTTACCAAGACGTTCAAACAAACAGGTCCACCCTTTGGTGGGGTGGACCACCCATTCGTTTGTTTCAATTTGCATGTTTTCTAAACAAAAACAAGGGCTTGTTGGGCTACTGGATAAGGCCTCGAACTCAACACTATTCCTGACATTTTGAATTGAAAAAGCTTCCTGGATGGGAAGCGAAATGTCTTAAGACTTGGAAACAAAGTCCAGTGGATTGTTTTTTTTAAACATTTCTGCAATGACTATGGCCTGAAAGACAGAATCTTCATCATATTCTATCAAGAACTTTTGGACAATTTCCTTCTCCAAACTTTGTGGAAAAAGCTTGGAGTTCACCTCTTCCTCTTCCAACACAACTGCACCAGATCACAGAGCAAGCTCCATAAAGACATGGATGGCTGATTCTGGTGTAGATGAACAGGACTATGAATTAGAGCAGAGACCATAGCCACGCCTTTTCATCCAACATCAGTGTGTGACCTCACAAAAATTCCCTAAACTTTGTGGTCAGCCGTCTCAGAAGAGATGAAGCTGTTCCAGATGCAAAAAATGGACCAACAGCATAATTAAACCCTAAGGATTAGGAATTTGTTAGGCATTTGTTAATGCAAATGAGTAACGCATGTTTACTTTTTTAGTTTGAATAAAATAAATAAATATTAGGGATGCGCGATATAATCGGCCCCCTATCGGTATCGGCCTTAAAACCGAATATCAGACATCGGCCACCCCACCGATATCTAACCCGATATTTGATCAGCTTCTGAGTTTCTAAAGTCTAAAAAAAAAATAAAAATACTACTCCTTCTTCCTCAAAAACTTCTTTTTTACAGACTTAAAAACTTCTAAATACGAGGGAAAAAATATTGATCCATTAAAATATCCCAATATCTTCATATGCTGATATATTGCCATTTAAAAACACAATATCAATCTCTTTTGCTAATGAAATATTGCTATATGTCATCGTTATGCTACGAAATCCCCCGAAAATTCACAAAATGTTGCCATATTTTTATATGTTGATATATTGACGCGGTATCGATCTACTTTACTAACAAAATCTCACAAGAATTTGCGAAATATCACGAGAGTTTGTAACAGAACGATTAAATTTCATGACATTTTGAAGGTAAAATAGATCGATACCTCGTTTTTAAAAATCAATTTGATATCAGCATATGAAAATATATTTGAGTATATTATTTTTCAAAATGTCAGAAATGGATAACAAAACTGCTATTGTCAATGACTACTTATTTTTGTCCAGCTTTAACATCGGTATCGATATCGGTTATCGGCTACATGAGTTTTAAAATATCGGCATATCGGATATCCCAATATCCTGCATCCCTAATAAATATGCATTTAGAATTACTTTCGATTCACCAGTATCCCCGAAATTGTGTTAGTCTAAGCCAGAGGTCACAGATTAGCGGACCGGGTTCTGGATCTGGACCCAACCTGATTTAAAACATTTATAAATGGCCGCATAATGTCCGACGACAGAGTCTAACTTCACTTGTGCCGCTTTGCGCCGGCACCAGGCTACATGTGATCCAATTTATCCAATGAGCTGTCAGTCTGGGTTGCTGCTGCTGCTACTTTTAGACACAGCAGGCAAACCTGTGGCAAGCCGGGCGATGGGAAAGAAGGAGAAGACCATGAGAAAAAGAGAGCAGAGAAAGTGTGGACTGCTGGAAGAACTGCGGTGAACTGGTGAAAGAAAAGTGAAATGGCGTGCTCAAAGATGACCCTGCACATTTAGAGGATGTTTGGCTCAACCTGCTGCTGTGAAGCAGGATTCTCCACCATGAACAGAATCAACAATAAATCTGGATCCAGGCTTAAAATGAGCTCCTTGATATGTGCTTGAGAATGGCTTAGTCTCCGGTTAAACCCAGGTTTAAAGCCTTGCAGGGCAGCCTAAAGCCCACTGCCAACATTAAGACAGAAAAAAGAAAGAAAATAACAAACGATCAGTTCAGGTGTTTGAGAAAATATGGGAATCAGGAAATTGTTTATATACCAAACTGAACGATTGATGCTCTCTCCTTAAAAAAAACACTTTACATTTTAAAATGGGAAAATGTTCAAATTTTTTTTATTTTTTTATTCAATGTATAACATGGATGCATAAAAACCTGCTTTTTATTTCAGTGTTAAATTCTGTTTAAAGGGACACTATGCAACATTTTTCAGTTAATTAATGTGTTCCATAACGTTTTGGATGACTAAATGAGTCATTTCAGGTTGAACAAAGGTATTCTCGGCCGCCCTGGTGGTCTGTGGGGGAAATACCGCACTTGCAACTGCAGGAGCACCGACCCGCACCCACAGGCTCAGAAGTCTCGCGAGAGTCGGTCTTGCTTTACGGCGAGAACTGCTACACGCCCCCTGTTAAAAGCATGCTCGTTGTTAGCACAGTGGCGATCTTTGTGCAGTTATGCTACGTTCACGCAGCAAAAGCAGCAAAATCGCGTCTGCTGCTTACTTTTTGCTGCTTGTACCAGTTAGTTCTGACGCGTGGCTGAAGCAGCTTTGCTGCTCCGGCTGTGTCTGAGGCGTGTTGGGCGGAGCTTCACTATCCTTTCTCTGCCTTGCAGCTATATTTGCTGTGATCAGTGGGAATAAAGTAGTTTTAATATGTGTTTAAGTGAGAAAATACACCTGAAAACGTAATCAGTGCAGTCAGTTCATTCAGATTATTATCCTGCCTTCAATATTTTTTCTGTCGGAGCCGCTCAGACCCCCACATACCAGCGGGGCGCCAACAGTATGGATCCCTTCATCAGCAGCGGTTCACCGCGGCAGCTGGTAGGTGTTTTTCATCTAAATAATCCAAACTGCATATTCTGCCGGCAGATTAAGAGGAGGGATCATCAGCGCTGTGTCTCTCCCTGCGTTAAACGCACCCGACGCGCTGCTTCAGCTGCTCAGACGTGCTGCGCCTGGTGCACAAAACGCGCCGCGGGACCTTTTGCTGCGCCTTGACGCGCGTCAGCCATTGACTTTGCATGTAAACTCGCTGCTTCTGTCGCGCCAGCTACGTCCAGTGTGAACGCAGCGTTAGTCATTCGCTGCTAAGCTCAAAACAACCGCGCCTGGCTTGACGGAGAAACCAGGAGAACAGCTGTGCATATTTACGACAGTGCACTTTTACTTTCGCCCTCTGGAGGGAGCCTCACTGGAAAATCAACACCGGTTGCATAGTGTACCTTTAAATTAATGGATTATGATTAAACCTTTACTGGTTATTCGGACCCCGCTGATTTTTAATTGGTTACCCCTAGTCTAAACCATAGACTCTATGACATAAATAAAAAATTAAAAAAGAGAGATCATATCTCTCCTATCCTGGCTTCTCTTCATTGGCTTCCTTTTAAATCCAGAATAGAATTTAAAATCCTCCTTCTCACATATAAAGCCTTAAATGGCCAAGCTCCATCTTATATCAGAGATCTGATTGTTCCTTATGTTCCTAACAGAGCACTTCGCTCTCAATCTGCAGGTTTACTAGTGGTTCCTAGAATTTCTAAAAGTAGAATGGGAGGCAGATCTTTTAGTTATCAGGCTCCTCTCCTGTGGAACCAACTACCAGTTTTAGTCCGTGAGGCAGACACCCTGTCTACTTTTAAGGCTAGGCTTAAAACTTTCCTTTTTGATAAAGCTTATAGTTAGAGTGGCTCAGGTTATCCTGAGCTATCTCTATAGTTCTGCTGCTATAGGCTTAGACTGCTGGAGGACATAGGGACCCCTTTTTCATCATTCTGCTTCATTCTATCTCTATTCTCCCACTCTGCAGAATCTGTTAGTTCAATCTCTAACCTTCTGCTCTCTCTGCTTTTTCTCATAGTAGCTTCATCTGGTCTGTTCCTGTTTGGCTGTGACTCCATCCTGGAGAGAAATATCAGCTGTGCTGCTGCCATCAACACCTTTGTTTCTAGATGCTGGAGATCGGCCTGTTTTTCAGTGTAGTCCTGTTTCTCTGACTGTGACTAACTCTGTGAGCTCGTCTGCCTGGCTGTGTGTTTCCTGGACGGGGCCGCCTGTGGAGCTGGTTGACAGTTGCCTTTTGTATCTATGCTTCTTTTTCTATGTCTGCTTCTGTCTCCTTGAACCCCAGTGGGCCTCAGCAGATGGCCGCTCACACTGAGCCTGGTTCTGCTGGAGGTTTCTTCCCGTTCAAAGGGAGTTTTTCCTCCCCACTGTCGCTACAAGCATGCTTAGTGTGAGGGATTGCTGAAGAGTCAATGAGTCGATGAAATCAACTGGTTTTCCTTAGATAGAAAACTTTGAATCAATTTGACTGGATGATCTGGTGAACTGGAAAGTGATCTGAGATGGCATGATGTGAATTGGAGCTATAGAAATAAACTGAATTGAATTTAAGTCCAGATTAAACACTGAGGTTTATAGTAGTCATGTGAGGAAGTGCTAATCAGTATTTCATTACTATGGCAAAACAATGAATAAAAGCATCCAAATAGTTTGAAATAGACTTAAAAGAAAAAAAAAATCATCAATTAATACAGTTAAACTGCTTGGGAATCAAATGTGTAACAAAATGGAGAAAACTAGAAGATGACCTCGTTTCTGCATGAAGACGAAGAGTTCATCGAGAAAATCCTTTCGATGGGGATCATCATCCAGTTCGTACAGCTATGAAGTCAAAAATAAATACAAAAACCGTTAAACATCTCTCTTTAGAAGTGTTTACATTTTGTTTTGATATTTTTTTAACACAATCCAACCTTGGCAAAATCTCTAGAAGTCTCTCCTCTTGCTTTTGCTCCATCGGCGTCCTCTGTGCAGATGCCGCTTCCTCGCTGCAGAGACACAGTTTGTTGTTAGCTGCAGGTTCGGGCTTTAATTTCCATATGAATTTTGCAAAGCAGGCAGTAAAAACAACGTCATCATGTTATAAAACTGGGGAAACGTTCCCTCCTTTTTCAATATGTTAAAAAAAAAACTTCTCTGCCTCTTAGATTTCTTCTGCGTCACCACATCATTAAATCATTTCCCCTTTGTTTGTTTTCTAGCAATAAATACAGCAAATTCTAATTTCAAATAGAATAAAACTATAAAAAAAAAATGTTTTATCATGTTTATGCAGTCGACATACACATGCAGTTATTGTGTCCAATCAAATCTTTTTTCTTCCACCTTCTCTGGGACTGCACACTGTCCCGTTGCTTTGCTCTTTGGGGGTCGGCCACTCCTGGGGAGAGTGGCGACTGTCCCCAACTTCTTCCATTTGTAGATTGTTTTTCTGATTGTGGACAGATGAACACCCAGCTCTTTAGAAATTCTCTTGTAGCCTTCGCCCACATTGTGCAGGTCTACGATTTAGGGATGCAGGATATAATCGGCCCCCTATCGGTATCGGCCTTAAAACTGAATATCGGACATCGGCCACCCCACCGATATTTAACCCGATATTTGATCAGCTTCTGAGTTTCTAAAGTCTAAAAAAAAAAAATACTACTTCTTCCTCAAAAACTTCTTTTTTACAGACTTAAAAACTTCTAAAGACGAGGGAAAAAATATTGATACATTAAAATATCCCAATATCTTCATATGCTGATATATTGCCATTTAAAAACACCATATCAATCTCTTTTACTAATGAAATATTGCTATATGTCATCGTTATGCTACGAAATCCCCCGAAAATTCACCAAATGTTGCCATATTTTTATATGTTGATATATTGACGCGGTATCGATTTATTTTACTAACAAAATCTCAGAAGAATTTGCAAAATATCACGAGAGTTTGTAACAGAACGATGAAATTTCACGAGATTTTGAAAGTAAAATAGATCGATACCGCGTTTTTAAAAATCAATTTGATATCAGCATATGAAAATATATTTGAGTATATTATTTTTCAAAGTGTCAGAAATGGATAACAAAACTGCTATTTTCAATGACTACTTATTTTTGTCCAGCTTTAATATCGGTATCGATATCGGTTATCGGCTACATGAGTTTTAAAATATCGGCATATCGGATATCGGCCAAAATCCCAATATCCTGCATCCCTATCTACGATCCTTCTCCTAACTTCTTCTGAAAGCTGATTCAGTCGAGGCATTTTCTCATAAACAGTCTCTCTGGTTCAGAACAGACTGCTAGTGAACAGAACTTGTGTGCAATTATTTATAGGTAGGGGTCCCAATCCCATCTCCTTAATTAGATCACCTGACTGCAAAGGGGGGCCTCGTTAAGATGCAGATCTGGGAGATTAACTGGAGCTTTAGGGGTTAAATGAAGGTAGTGCTGTTGCAGAGTTAAGCACAGGAAATAAGGACTGATAATTAAATCAATGCATTACTCAGAAAAACAGTTAAACCAGAATTTTTTTTAAGGTTGTATTCATTTTTAGCAAAGATAAACACTGACAGAGATCACTATTGTTTCAGTCACTTATTGGACAAAGATTGTGCCACTTAATTCCTCATTAAATGGTAAGGCAACATCAATTTATGAAGGTAGCAAATTCTTTCCCGTAGATCTTTCAAGGTGTCCTGCAACTCTTAGCTGTCGCCCTGATCAAACACACCTGAATCGAATGACTTAATTGGCTTCCTAGGTATGCACTCCTAGTAAACACCAGATTGCTTTATTCAGGTTTGTTGAAGAAGAAATGTACGTAAAAGCTGCAGGATAAGAGTTTGACACCTGCAGTAAAAACCCTTTGTGAGAACGGCAAAAATAGATTTTTGAAAATGTAGCTTCTGTGGGATTTATTTAGTCCATTTCATTTCTAGAGTTAGAGTTTTATATGATACATTTTTAAAAACCTCAGGATCCTCACATCACAAGAGACTTTCTAAACTGTTCTAAACTGTTGCCCCAAAGTTTGTCTGCCTGAGTGACTGATGGAAAATGGAGAAGTAGAGCTTAGACCGACTGGCTCCAGGATACAGACTATAAACAGTTCTTCATGACATATTATAGGCCGAGATTAATCTGGATTAATTCCAAGATTACAGTGAGATTCTGGAAGGTGACCTTGACTTAAAGAGTAATGAAATTCAAGCTCTGAAACACGCTTGGAAAACAATAATCTTTAACAACAACAAACACACTAAATGTCTTCAGAAAGTGGAAACACAAAATGAACTAGTTTATCAGTTATGAGTACATATATATATATATATATATATATATATACACACACACCTCGGACATGTTTTATATTTATGTCTTTTAAAAAAAGCGGCGCGTGTATGACATCATCCACTCGCCGGACTGGAGTTGTGATAGGCAGCCCGAGCCACAGGCGGCTACGCTCTACCCTTCTATTCATTCTAGCTGATCTGAATCGTTCATTTGGAGAGCGAGATCATCTGTGGTAGCAGCACTAGACATCTTCCAGGCATGTGAGGAAAACTAGCAGCAGTTCAGCGGATAGGATGAATGAATGGTAGCCGGCGCACGCGGATGACGTCATCAGAGATGGGAAGTAACGAAGTACAAATATTTCGTTACTGTACTCAAGTAGATTTTTCTGATATTTTTACTTTACTTTACTACTTATTTTTATGGCGACTTTTTACTTCTACTCCTTACATTTTTACACAAATATCTGTACTTTCTTCTCCTTACATTTTAAAAAATTGGCTCGTTACTTTAGTTTTGAATCATTTCAATGGAGTTACCGTTATTATTTTTCACGTCATCAATACCAAATTCAATCTAATTGGATGGGAATCTACGTTGCATTTGACGCACCACTACAAGAAGAATCGACAGATTCTGCGGTATTCATTGGCGGCAAATCATTGCAGCTTGGTGGCGGTGGCGTTAGCATAGTAGCATGGACGACGAGATGATTGAAAATGAACACAACGGAGATCTAGTCCTATTGGCAGACATCCATTTAAAATGTAGGCAACGGCATGAAAAAAGTGGTTTCTACTTTTACTTTTATACTTTAAGTAAATTTACAAGCCTGTACTTTGTTACTTTTACTTGAGTAAAGAAGTTTAATCAGTACTTCCACTTTTACCAGAGTATTTTTTAACACAAGTATCTGTACTTTTACTCAAGTACGGAAAGTGAGTATTTTGCCATCTCTGGACGTCATACACGCACCACTTTGTTTTTAAAAGATATAAATCTAAAACACATAACGGCGGATGTCTGGGGGACAGTGATTGGCCTCCATGTCCTGAATGCTGGCGTACCATAAAGAATAAATTATGAACAGTTTAGTTTGTGCCTTCAAGTCGTTGCCCATAGGAAGACGTTACTTGGATATAACCTAACGGAATATCTTCAGAACGGCTCCAAATGACACTAAACTCATATGAGTGAGTAGAACATGATGGAGTAACGGAAAATCAAGGGGCTAATGTAAAACAAACCCTGCGTTTTCCTTTAAAGGTATAGTGGAGGATGTTCTTTTTCCAGGTGGATCATCAAAATAAGAGGTCCTCCTAACTGTCAATCATTCTGGTGATCTGTTTACTTTAAGGCCGCCCTACGTGCTCGTCTCCATTTTCACTGACCGGCGTTGAGTCTGAAATAGTGAAAAAAAGACAAATCTCTCTTGGAAAGTAAGCAACTTTTAAACAGAGCGTGCACGAGGAGAAATCGACTTTTGCACGCCCACACACGCGTTTAATAGATGTTTCCTCTTGGGAGCGGGGACGGGGTTAAGCAGGTGCTTTTTTTTTTCGGAAGTAGAGAGGGTGGGTCTTTTTTAAAAAAAAATTATGAAAATCCTTCCCAATACTAGCGTAGTAAACTAGCTCCACCCGCCAGCAACCAAAATCATTTTTGCCTGCGAGTGGTCTAGCCTCGATCAATGCCACAGGCCCTAGAACAGGCGGGCCAATCACAACGCAGAGATGTGTTTTGAATTTCTGGATGCAAAGCGGGCGGGGTTTTGAGGGCGGGACGACAAAGCTGCGCTGGAGAAAACACAACAAGGAAGATGGCAACAACTATTGAACAGTTCTGGTTTGAATCAGTTTCGGAATCTGTTTTGGAAGGATTAGACTTTGGGTTTTCGTTGAAACGTGAGCAGGTAGAGGCTCTACGCTCATTCATTTTTTAAGGACGACGTATTTGCCGTTTTACCGACAGGCTGTTTGCTTTCTGTCGCACTTCCTACGTCACAGTCAGTTGCGCTCATTGTTCAGAGCGTTGGCCAATAGGCACAGACATGTGCTCGAAAACCTGGGATGCGTCCTTAGAAGGCCAGATTCGAAGGACGATTACGTCATAGCGCGGCGCCGAGGTCTGGTCTGATTCCAAGACTCCTCGTTATGCGGCCTTAAAATTAGTCTTTCTTTTTTCCCTTTTGAAGGACTTGTATATCTAAAAAATTAAAATTTTTTGATGAGTGCAAATTTTAACGAAACCTTGGATACGAGAGAATTACCCGATACATTGGAAGTAGCTTTTTTTTTTCTTTCTTTTTTAAGTTGGCCCAGTAGCCAAATTACCAGTTTATTAAAAATATCCGCTGCTCTCGCTAGTGTTCAGTCACTTTATCATTGTTGCAGAGAAAGAATCACCTTCTAGGGCTGTGAAATTAATTGCATTTGCCATATCATCGCAATTTATTGAAATGGAATCTTCAAATTGCAGAGGCATTCGAACATATGGATATATTAAAAGCTCCTGAACTGTTGACTCTTGAGCAACACTGAGGCAATAATCACTGAAATCACGTATTTTTCTGTAATATTCAGGAAAAGTTCAGTCAGACTTTCCGCCTGTTATCAGGGATGTTATTTCACTGTACTTTCATTTTCTCAGGGATGGTTTGTTTTATTAATGTTTAAACAAAAATCTATTATAAAAACTGA